AAGAATGTATGCAATGTGTTAATTATTGAAACTGTCCTACCAATTTGGTTTGAAACTGTCTCATTGCTATTTGTTTCTCAATAAAATTATGGAAAAAAATTTTAAAAAGAAAATTAATTTAAAAATAAAGCTCCTTGGAGCTCACTGGTGCTTCCAGGTTTCTCTCACCCAAGATCCCAATCATTACACACTGTCCATTGGGTGTGTACTAATTAGAATTAGGGATGAATTGAGAAAACTGTTGATGACTGCATGACTCTGTCCCTTCTGAGCTTTCATATTGTGTGTCACAAAAACTTAGAAAAAGTTCTTAGCAGAGCTCTCCCCAGATGACTATAATCCAGCAGAGAATAAAACAATAATACGAGACAGGTGAATGTTTCTACTGGCAACTGTATTGTTTTGTCCTCCCCAATGGGTTCTTGTCACCTTTCTTCTGATACTAAAGTTACAGGCCTTCTGAGAAATTAGCTAATGATAAGTTTCCATAAATCTATATGGCTTCTTCTCAGGTATACCAAGCTCCTCCACACATCTTCATAGGTAAGTGGGTCTATATTCAAAGGATGTGAAATTAATTGCTTGATCAGAGTCCTGGGGAAGCAAGGGGTAGACCTGAACCAAGAGTTGGTTGTATTCACATGAACAGTATAGCATCAGCCACCATACAGCTCAAAGGAAGTTTCATCCTGGGATGCAATTCGGAATTTGTCTATTAATTTAATTTAATGACTCTTAAAGTTAGCAGACCTTTTCACATAAAATACTAATTTCAAGTATGCATGCTTTCCTCTCAATAAAGTGACTAGTATACTACCTAAATCAAGTCTCAGAGTGTATTGCTGTGAAACATGTATTTATACCCCTTAGAACAACTTTTACTATGAGATTTCAAGAAATATTCTGATTTTTGTCTTCTATCTTTATGTGGCTTTTAAAAATAATATTTGAACAGTAGTATCTGTAATTTTTTATTTTTTAAAGTTTCATATTTGTTAATAGTGAGGTTCTTGGGCCGGGGAAATGACTCAGTAGAATAACTCTTGCCTGTGAAGCGCAAGGCCCTGAGTTCCATCCCCAGTTCCACCAAAAAAATAATAAATAAATAAATAAATAATAGTGAGGTTCTTTCTTTAGGGAATCCTCCTAATGAAAGAATTTATCTTCACCCCTATAAATGAGTAGTCCACTTTGTCATATGTACATTTCTACTTCCACTATTAACTTCACAAATCTAAACTTATTGGTTTCAGCAGTTATCCATGTGCTCTACCAGTTAGAAAATCTCATTTCAGAGCACGCTGAAAGATAGGCTGCAATGATACTAAAGATAAAGTGATGAAAGTAGATACTTCTCTGCTTTTCTACAAAGAATCTATGAATACCATCTACCAGAACTTTATGAGTAGAAAGACTATTCTTGTCCATTTATATTTTTTCTACCCATCATTGCTATAAAAACACTTTCTACTCTCACTGGTAGTGAATAAGCCAAAAACTTTTTCTTGAAGAAAACACTAAGAACACCACATTTTAATTTCTCTGATCTCGTTTTCATTTCCCTGTGGGTGTTACATTCTGTCACCTAACACTGGTCATTTAAGCATTTTTATTGGCAATAGATAATATGAAGGAAGATTTCACTAACTTTCCGAGGTTATGATGACAAAAAAATGAAATTTTGTTCATAGTACCACAAGGTAACCCTTGTTTTCTTATTGGACTGAGCCAAAACCTTCCCATACAGGGACGAAATGCACTTGCTTCTGACAATGTGCCCTTAGGGTCTCCTTTTTCTATACTTTGGAATAGCAATGACCTTCTCTTCATATTTATCAAAATATAACTAAACATGTTGATATGGTGAGCAGCATTGAAGACCCCCAGCATTTGTTACTATTTTGAATTCAAAAAGAACAGAAATATCACTATTTATGGGGTGTTAATGGTATTCGCCTACTGAAATAGCCTTGAAATGTTGTTCTACCTTTTTCTGGAAGGGACATATTTCAGAAATGCTGTGTGTTGAGGACTGAATATCATGTTATCGATGACACTGCCCTTCACTTGTATGTCAGCTCTTCCTCCATGATTCTCTTTTCATTTTTCCCATTCTAATTCTGTCAAGAAGTGCAGTGTATTAACCAATATACCCACACACCTACCTGATTCTTATATTTATACTGAATCTCACTCTCAGTGCAGTTTTCTATTTCATCTTCATTTATTGATAAGAATAATCTTGAAGACAGTGATGTGACATTGATCTGCTAGTTTCAGAAATAAATCATTGGGGGTCCTTCTATTTGTCTAAAATATGTGGCAATGTGCTGGACTAAGTCACTTCATCCATGAGCTATTAATATGCAGATTTTTACCCTATTGCATGTGAGGAGGCTCATGTGTCCTCTTACCTTTGTTTCTCATGCTACTATCAGGCCACCCTAAGTTCAGAGGTACCCAACCCACACAGAGGTCTATAGAAGCAGCTCTGTCCCCAATAATTCCAGTTCTCTATTGTCACTGGCTCAAGTACATGGAGCTGATAATTCTTCCCTAGTGATAGCCCATTTTGTGATAGCATGTATCACAAGATGGATCACGTTCTTAGGAGCTGCAGAAATAACACTGTTTCAGCGAATCATTTCTGGATTATGGTATTCATGAGAAGATCGACTTCATACCATTTCTCCTGAGGGTATACAAAGCTCCTCTGTGAGTTATAATAGCTCCTGAATGTGACTGGTCAAAAAGAAAGCACAGCTATCTCTTTGATGTTTCTTGCTCTTTGTGTGTTTAGTTTATCTCTCTGCTGTCCACTAGAATTTTCTACCTCATCTTCAATATGGCTCCGTCAGGATTTTCCCCTGAGTTATTCTCGTTCTGATTTAGTCAGGTGTCTATTAATGCCCAGCCTCTATGAGAGCGATTTTTTATCTCCAGTGCACACAATGGGATTGTTATGATTCCCACGACAGGAATCCTCAACGCCTTAACAGAAAATATTATCACACCTAAGAGCTATATTAGAAGAGTCTCCTACAGTTATATGTAAAAGATGAGAAAGGCAATGATCCTGAGAATCCTCAGAAGATTTTTTAATCTAGCAGTAAATTGGAAAGATTCCCACCCTGACTAACTATATACACTGATACCTGAGAACTAAGCTACTGCACTGCAGATGGTAATTTGTAATAATAGTTTCATGTTTGGAATGCCTGTCATTCTGGGATTCT